TAAAGGAAGGCATTTTCCTTAAATTCGAGGAAATAAGTTGATTTGGAAAATATTTTTCAAAACATTTAAGCCAACCAAACATGACAAAACTGGAAAGCATTTTCCTTTCTACCAAACCACATTGACGACTTTACCCTTTACCAAAGGTCTCGGATTCGAGCCCGGTGTATGGAGAAAATTTTGTTGGGAGCGCTAACACCAAATGGGTCTTGAAGTGAGTGATTCAAATTTATTTGGAGCTCCAATGCACACAGTAGGTTGAAAACAAAAAAGAAATACAAACCACATTTATCGGTGATTTTATCTACTAAATACAATTCCCATAATTACATGTGAAAATAATTATTTTATGTTCACTTTGACCGACATTTGAAGATATATTTTTTTCATCATATTAATATGAGAATAATGCAACTTTTAGTATATTTCATATAGTTTCAAACATTTAAATTTAAAATATCGAAGCAGCCTAATTCAATCTAACTTCGAAGATTCTTTAAAGACCCCTCATAAAGAGAAACATAATGTAACTACCTATTCCGGTTTTATTCAAAAGGCACCTCGTGCAAAATCTCAAGAATTTCTTATAGACAACGTCAATTTAAAACTAGGCTGACGTCATCCCGCCAAAGCGGCGCTGCTGTAGCTGTGTGTCAGCCACTATAGCGTGGTTAGCTAGGCAGAAACTCAGAAACATAATTTTTTCTAATTCTTCTCCTCCGCTTCAGTGGTAAAAACAGATGGGGGTCTAAAACCCTCCAAAATCTTCTCTAATCTTAGAGACTAATGAGAAGAGGAATTCTAGCACAAGAAGGGTCAAACCCATGGATTTCCATTCTACGTCCGTTAGGATTCATCCTCAAGGAGCTAGAAGTTAATGTTAAGATTTCTTTAGCAGTTGTTTGGCGTCTAGGTAGACTAAGCTTAACTGAGTAGTTAAACCTATCTTTACTTGCATAATACCTTGTGAATTGTTGGTAATTTAGATGTACAAGCCTTCAGGCGCAGAGTTTGGGCGGACAATTGTGTGGATCACAATTGTTTAGGGTGGTAAGGTACTTAACTTGCTAATGTGGATAGGTATTATTCTAGGGAACCGGTGGGTTATGACTTATAAACAGTAAAAGTTGTCTAGAGAGAGACGTTCGATGTGATGGTTGTTGTTTTCCATGTTATGTAATGTGTGCATGTTAACGGTCTCTATTATAAAACATGTACAATACATGTTGGTAAAAACATAAGGGTTGAATGTGAAATGATGAATTGTTGATAATCTCATATAATAAATGTGTTTTGCATACTTGTATTTACAAGTGTGATTGTATTTCATTATTTGTGATTGTGCTTGTGTGACTATCGGTCGGCTCGGGTACCGCGACTAGTGTAAGGTATACCTTGATTGGCTTGGGTACCACACCTGGTACAAATTATCGGTTGGCTTAGGTACCATTCCTGATACCGGATACTATTGATTGACTCGGGTACCACGTTGGTACATGTTTGATTATTCTCTTATATGTTAGTTCACTACCATGAGTGAATTGGGTGTAATTCTTTGTAATGTGATTGTTACATGTTGGTCTGTGAGTATCGAGAATTGTGTTGAAATGTTTGGAGGGTTCTTGTATAGGTCGAAAGGGCATGTTAAACATTATAGATAATGTTTGGGGATCCTTGGTGGTCCGGGTTACTTGAAAGGTGCAACTAATAGGGTTTGGGTGATTTTTTATGATTTCCGACATGTCTTGGATGGTTGTTAAGTCAAGATGTTGACTAGGAGCTTTGCCTATTCACTAACTCATGTGGTAGTGTTAGTTCGGCTGGTCTAGGACATATTTGATAGGGGGATTGGCTTAAGGTATTTTGGTAGGAGTCTCGTATGTGGTTTGCTAATTTGGTCAAGGTCCATGGTATTGACGTGAGAGCTTTAGGGAGATTAGTAGTCCAGTTAGCAGAGTTGTAGTGGATAAGAATCAGGAATGGGAACAACAGAGGAATTCTGGTGTTGGTAGAATGTGTGGTTTTGAAATGTCTCTATGTGATAGAGGTTATGTTATGATCGAATGTGGGGTAAAATGGCTTAGATGGTGGAGTTGGCAGCGCAAGGAGGTCGAGTGACTTGAGATAGGGTGTATGAGTACCATGGTAGCATAATTTGACAATGAAGGGGGTGCTATTAAGGATCGGGGTCATGAATATATCTCCAAGTTCCATGTTTCTTGATTAATTGCAGGATATTATGTGGTGGATTCGAATCGACCAATGATGCCTACCAATACGTGTTGTTTGCACTGATACTACTCTTATTATGCCGCTTGGCATAGTTTGGTTGCAGGATTGGTGATGTTTCTTAGGTGAAGACGAAGATGATCTCCGACAACTTCTAACTTTCTTTCCTTATGGTGAGAATTGTGTCTTATTATTTGAGTCTTGTGATCTCTTAGAAGCTCTTGTACCTGTTTAGACTAGTTCGTTAGGAGAGTTCAATGTAATTCTTGACAAAAGTACTATATTTTAACTGAGTTGAGTAATTATGTACTTACAAGAGGGTGTTAGCTTATATTTTGTTCACTTCCGCTTTTCATGTTCTGGTTTGGGGTTAGGGTTCTCCTATCTAGATATTGGAGTAGATGCCTACACGGCCCGATGGATTGAGTTATGACACATGACAAGTAAAAGTGTATAATACTCAACTTTTTCTACTCTAATTGTCTTGCTAACTTCTATAATTACTTAGATATTGCATTCAATGTCTTGCTAACTTCTATAATTATTTATTCACTTTTTTTTAGATTATTTAAAAAAGAATATTACTTTTCTATTTATTAGAAAAAACTTTAATTTGTGATTCTCTTTTTGTTCTTAATGAAATAATTTATAATCATAATTATGACTAATATTTGTTTTAGATGTTCTCCTCCAAAATTTTCTTTTCTTTTTGTTAAAATTTTTTAAAGCGCGGATTTTTTAAGTATACAATTAACAATTGTATTTACACCAACATATCAATACTTTTTTTTTCAATTATATAGCAATACTTTTTTTTTTCAAAAGTAGAATTTAAATTAAAAAAAAAAGATTTTCCAAATCAGCCATGCTTATCCCACTTCCCATAAATTTCTCCAATAATTTTACCTTCCCTAATTTATTCAAATATGCTATATATTATCTCCCATAAATAAAGGTTTCCTACCAAAAACATAACTCCTTTCTCTGACTTAAAAAATCGCCCAAACAAAGAACGATTATTGAAAAAAATGCATACCAATAATTTCTCAATTCTAATTCAACACAACGGGCGATGGGACTCAGCAGGTAATTATATAAAAAATAATTCTCATGATTTTTTATTTTGTGGTTGAATTTGATTTTTCACAAATATCTATTTTGTACTTTTTGGTAGTTATTCCTTTTATATATTTTGTCAATTTTGGTGTAAATTAATTCATACAATTTGGTTGACGTTCGGGATCGTCCAAATTTTGGTGTAATTTCAACAATTTCGTATGATTTTGTTGTACACTGATGTGTAAACTTTGTTTTTTGTTAAAGTTTATGTTTAATTGGTATGATGTGTTCTGTATGGTAGCAAATATTTTATATCAATAAGTTTTCAATATGTATTTCTGTATTTGTTTAGGTATTTGATCTGGTATAATTGTCACTAATAGCTGACACCAAACAAATAGCCTGATGCGTGATTTGGTGTATTGTTTGGTCAAATTATAGTATCTTACTTATGAACGTATATTAAAGTGAGTGTAGTTATAAATAATTTGGTGTAATTGGTGGTGTCAAAAACTACAAGTTTGACGATCTATGGTATATAATTAGAACCTCGTAATAAAGTTATGGTACATATTTTAGTGAATTTTAAGTATGTGAATTGGTGTAAATAATAATGTGCAAAATAGTTCGTACATTTACTAATGGTAACCTGATAAAATCATAAATTTTAAAAATTGGTTTAAGGGTATGTAATCTTTGACTGTTTTTTTTTACGTTTATTATATGGTTAAAATATTGGTAAATACTTTGGTATTTCTTTGACTGTTTTTTAAGATAATTAAATGGTTAAATTTTGGTAAATAATTTGGTATTTCAATAAATGGCTTATATACCAACAAAAATCAATGTATAAACAAATCTAAATAAGTTGATGACTGTAGTAGGTAATTCTGAAAGTTCCTTTTAATATTAACAAAGAATTTGTTATTTTAAACAGGCAATTACGTGGATTACAATATTGAAGGAGTTATGTATGATCCAACCACCAAATACGAAGGCTTGCTTACAGCTATATCTTCACAATTGGGAGTGGACACAACAATTTATCATTTGAAACTAAGGTATTTCGTGAGTGGTCCATCTCCACCAATGAAGATACATAACGATACGGGAGTGCAAGTTTATTTAGATCAAAAGAGATGCAATTCAGATTTCTTTTCAAAATATCCTTTATGTGTGACATGTGTGGACAAAGCTATGGAATCCATTGAGTACCAAACAAATGTCCAAACAACACGTCAACATATTGTGGGATCCAACACACTATGTTTGACTAACATGGATCCAATTTTGGAATGTTACATTGAAGAATCACAAGAAACTGAAATAATTTCAAATCCTCAACACTATTTGGTGGCCGAGGATCAAGTTTATATAAACAAGCAAACTATATCGGAAGTTATGAAGTGATATGCATTTCTAAGAGAGTTTTGTTTCGTTGCAAAAAGATCAAGTCCTACTTGGTGAGTTATTATATATGTTGATTTTAAAAATTATCAATACATTTTAACAACTTACCATGTATTAATATGCATGAGTTTTTGCAGTTACTATCTAAAGTGTGCTACAGAAAACTGTTCATGGATTTTTAAATCCTCATGTTTGAATAATTCAAAGTTATTCAAAGTGAGGAAATTCTATGATACACATTCTTGTCCATTGAAGGACCGGATTCAATCAAAGCGACAATCAACAAGTGGTGTGCTTGGGAAATGTTGGTTGAAAAGTATGTCGATCTGAAGACCGTTTACACACCAACAGACATACAAGCAGACATGCTAAGGATACATGGTATTTCATTAACATACATGCAAGCATGGAGAGGTAAAAAAAAAGCTTTCGAGACATTAAGAGGTGACCCTGCCGAATCATATGGAAAAATTCCAACATATCTATATATATTGGAGAAGACATATCCAGGGACAATTGTGAATTATAAAAAAACCGATGAAAATCATTTTTTATATTCATTTACAGCACTTGATGCAAGTATAAGAGGTTGGGAGTATTGTCGACCAATAGTAGTCGTGGATGGTACACATTTAAAATCAACATACGAAGGCACAATGTTGATAGCTAGCACATTAGATCCAGGAGGTACTGTTTATACCATTACCGCAACTAGATTGATTTGTTTTATATATAATCAATATATGTTGTATTTATTTTGAAGATATTTGTTGTATAGGTCACATCTTGCCGCTTGCATACGGAATAGTTGATTCAGAAAATGATGATTCATGGTTATGGTTCTTTGAGAATTTTAAAAATGTATTCGGTGAAAGGGAAGATATGTGCTTTGCTTCTGATAGAAATAAGAGCATTTGGAATGCTACTGCAGCTGTTTATCCCAAATTAGACATTACGCATGCATATACCATCTATGGACCAATTTACTAAAGAAAACATACAGAGATACAGAAGAGGTTAGATCATCATTCTTCAGTTTAGCAAAAGCTTACACTGTTCAAGAGTTTGATGAATTGATGACAAGGATGGATCAAATTAATCCAAAATACCGTGCTTATCTACAAAAATCAAATTATGAGAAATGGTCACGCGCACATTCACCAGCAAAAAGGACTTGGACACTAACAAGTAACATTGCAGAGTCACTAAATAACACTATTCTTGTTGGAAGAAGGTTACCAGTGGTACCATTGTTGGAATTTGTTAGAAAAACAATTGAAGCTTGGAATGAGAAACACAACGAAGAAGGTAGAAATACTACAACAACCTTGACAAGTAAATACAATGAAATGTTGGAGGACAATAGAAATTTGTCTCATCGTATGCTTGTAAGTATTAACAATTCTCTACTATGCATATTATGTTTTGGTTTTATTATTGATAATGAATGCTCTTAAATGAAGGTACGCGCATCAACAATACACCTTCATACCATTACAGATGGTGCAAAGAGGTTTACAGTATGTCTGAATACATGAATGTGTAGTTGTGGCAGATTTCAACATGATGAGCTCCCTTGTAGTCATGCACTTGCAGCAATCAGCATAGGAATAAACATCGCGATGATTATTGTTCAGCTATTATAGTAATAAGAATTATCAAGATACATATGCAATACCAATTGAACCCTTGCCTTGCGAAAGCACTTGGGATATTCCATCACATGTCTTGGAAGAGGTAGTATTACTACCAATTACAAGAAAGCAACTAGGTAGACCTCTAAAAATGATCGCAAAAAGGATTCACCAAAGGAGAGGGGAAGAAGAGGAAAGTAACCTGTAGTGAATGTGGTATAGTTGGGCATAACAAGAAGACTTGCCCAAAAAAAACTCATGATAATTAGCTTTGTGATATTTTTGTTGTTATTTTTACTTTGCAGTTATACAGTTGAACTATATTACTTTTATTAGATGTACTGTTTCTTAATTGCATTACCTTATTTCAAAGTTGATTACTTTTTGTTATCCTATTCATATTTTTGAATACATAGTTGTTATAAATGGTTGTATATAGTAGATATCATAAACTCTTTTGGATTACGTGTTGTCACATATCCAGAAATATTGATAAAAAATATAAGCCAAATTCTTGGTAAAATTATGGTAAATAAGAACAAATATATGGTTAAAATAAAGGATCATAATAATTGTGTATTTAGTAAAACAAATGTTTGCAGTTTACCAACCTAAAACAATAAATTGAAAAGTAATAAATGTTAGTATATTAGTTTGGACGCTACAGTAATTAACACTCACTTACTATAAAATTGGTTTACTCTTGTTACAACCGGTACATAGCTTGGTATAAATGATGGTATATATTAAAACCAAATGTCATAATGATGATGGTATATTAACTTACATATGAACATACATAAATTAAAATGAGTGCATTAATAAATTATTTGGTGTAATTGGTGGTGTAAAAAACTACAAGTTTGACGATCTATGGTATATAATTAGAACCTCGTAAATAAAAAATATGGTACATATTTTAGTGTATTTTAAGTATGTGAATTGGTGTAAATAATAATATAAAAAATATTTCCAACATTTATTGATGATAACCTGATAAAATCATAAATTTTAAAAATTGGTTTAAGGGTATGTAATCTTTGACTGTTTTATTTTAAGTTTATTAAATGGTTAACATATTGATAAAATACTTTGGTATTTCTTTGACTTTTTTTTTTAAATCATTAAATGGTTAATTTTTTGGTAAAATACTTTGATATTTCAATAAATGGCTTATGACTACACTCTTGGTTAACACTGAAACCAAAAAAAAAACACTATGCTAAAGAAAAAAATTGGTTTACATATGAAAGAAAAAAAGTACCAAACTGGGTAAACACATTGGTGTGTATACCAACCTGCAACTTTGAAAGAAATCCAAGCGATAATATACAAGCATTTAATATAATTTTTCAATAATGATAAAACCCAATTTATACCTAAATTTATACCAAACTCATACATGTACAAACCAAACTCACACTATAAATTTATCACAATATTTAATAAAAAAAACAACCAAATAAATGCATAATCACAGAATAAAGACAATATCCAATGAACTAAATACCATAAACGCAACTAAAGTACTATCCAAAATTACAAAAAAAATTCAATAGCATAAAACATTCATGAAATTCTGTCTTAAGAAATGACACTTTTTACTCCTTGACCCTCCGATTTGACCGACCACCTTGGTTAGAAGCTTCATCTTCACTAACAGATTCAGTATCAATTTTCATATTTCCATATTCCCACAGTAATGCTCCAAATCTCAATCGAAGATTTTCAGCATTTAAACCCGACATAGATACATTCCTATCTCCACGACACACATATTCAGCAAAAGCACAGGTATACAGACCACAATCCTTATAAATATTACCCAATCAGCATAATTAGTACAATACATAGTATAATCAACAACAAAAAAGCCACATTATACTTACGTTGAATTGTCGCATTGTTGTGGGATGTTTTCACGATTACCATATACCATCGGATCACCAACTGGCCTTCCAGCATAATGCACATCTGTATTTCAGTCAATGTCTTTCCGTAAAGCATAATAATCAGTAGCAACTAGAAACAAAGGTATCATTCTAGATATTTTTTGAACCAAACTTGTTACTGCATTGGTATGTTTAACCCCATAACCATTTAAAGAATCATAAATATATAAACACATTTTTCTGATGGAAAAAACAACCAGAAACCAGTGGAATGCAACACTACTATTGACTGGAATGCATACATGATCAACATCCACCCATGGAGTATTAGCAAGAATCCTATCACCTCTTATATATTGTGCAACCTCATGATGTATACTAATTAGACTTTCATCTTTGCCATTGGCCTCCCACGCATCATGAATTTGAACAACCCAACTGATGAAAAATGGTCAGTAGTAGTAACTCTTGCATTATTATCAGGACTATACTTGCAAAACTTGCGAAGATAATACATTATCACATCAACATGCTGCATATCAAATTTTATTAGTTAGCACCAAACAATAAAATAATATCACAAATTGATTGAAAGAATTACCATTATCTGATTATTACCTATTAGACTATATTTAAAATTATATGTTTGTGTCATTGTAACAATTAAACTATAATTAGGAGTCTATGTTTGTGTCAGTAGTTGATTTTCCTAACATATATACCAAAAACAATTGTCCCCATAGAACTAAATCACAGATTTCAGTGACTACAATGAAGCCAATTTTACTTACCAATCACTAAAAATCACAACAAAAAACAAATACCAAATCTTACTTTAATATAGAGTTACACCGTAAAAAATTACCAAATCACTCCAAGGCTGCCTTGGATAAGCCAACGGGTGAAACCAATCCATCAAATCCACCCTACCAACACCAAACTCAAAAGGAGGATCGATTGGATTTGAAGCAGCAGTGAAGAAACTGGTTTTCCTATAAAACAAAATGAGTAGTTATAGCATATAAAGTGAATGAACAAATGGTAAAATACAATTACACAACAATACATACTTTCCACGTTTCTTGGATAATTTGCTATCAACCCATTTCTTAAATTGAAGGATAACTTCACTGTACATATCAAACCCCTTGTAATTTACAAAAGGATGCCTCCATAAACAGTACTTCACTGTGTTCACCGATGTGCCACCTGATTCACTTAAGTTTGTGTATGGTGATTGGGCATACTTTCTTGGAATCTTCGTACGAACATGCTGAACTGGTGAGATAAATGTTTTTTCACCCTCAATAACACCAAACTGATTGAACTTTGTTTTTCCAGCTTTAGCAACTTCCAAAGGTGTGACACAAATATTTTCAGATTCAACATCTACCAATGATGACACGTATGTTTGTCCAGTTTCAAGAGCAACCAACTGTGATTCACGCATATTGGGCATAACAAAGTCATCCAATGTAGGAGTTTTTCTATTTATTTCAAAATCAACAGATACACCACCTATTAAGATATACAAACATCATTTATGTATCTATATTTTATGAAATTTTAAACACAAATCAGAAATGAACTAAAAATAGTTATAAAAAATAGATTTAAGCTAACAAAAAAGAACTTACAATTGTTATCAAAAACATGATTACGAAACGAAGATGGTGTCTGGACACCATCTTTATCTCCACAATCTTGCAAATGTTCATTTTGAACATCAACATTTCCTCTTCTTTGATCCTCAACAACAACCTTAATGTTCTCAATAAAAATAAAATTTTGAGTCATTCAACTATTACAATAAGACAACAATATAGCTAATTACGGATATATAATCAACAAGAAGATTAATAATATTTAAAATCAACACAAAGTATCCACATTAACATTTATAATAATCTTGATCTAAAAATTAGTTTATAAGTAAATAATAAGTCCATATATTAATAAGTAGACTAACCCGTTCACCACCTAAATCTTTGTTGGTTGAAACATCATTATGAAGAGATTTCAACTCTTGAATGATATATTTGAATGATGAATCCATAAAAGCCTTCATTTCAACAATCTTAGCATCTACATTTTTTTCAAACTTTTCCAACTCATTACGAACCTAACAAAAATTAAAATGACATTAATGTTTCTTCAACCAAAATTCTGACAGAAAGTAAATAAAATTTATAATCATACCTTCACAACTTCTTGGGCAATTTTCTGCAAATCTCTATTAAATGAAAAACTCGGATCACTTCCAACCTTTTGTGCAGAACTATCAGGCAAATCTTTAACATTCTGTCGAACGACAGAATGAGTCTGTAAATTCTGATTTTGCCTTACATATCTATCACGTTTACTCTTCTTATTGAATGGCATATCAGTCAAAACAGTAAGATTTCTGACTCAATGATATCAAGCTCCTCATCCATGAACACAAGATCTTCAAATGTATACTAACACAATAATAATAAATTGTGAATATACACTACTGATAAAAAATAAAATTAATAAATAATAACAAAAGAACTTCTATTACCTGATTGCCGTATTTTCTGAACATTCCTTTCTAGAGATGGTCAAAATATATCTTGTTTTTGGATATATCCCAATTGAATATTCTAGGCATTCAATTGGATTTACGAATTGCAATTGAACCATCAACTTTGTTACAACATTCATAAAACCAAATTTGCAATGCGAGAGGAAACCCTTCAAACTTCACATAATTCGGATCTTTTGCCATTTGACTCGATATAGAATGACGAAGATTAAAAAAGGAGAGATTACCCCAGGGGTACGTAATGTACTGTCCCGACTCAACACATAAGAAGTGATCTTTTGGAATATGTGACAATTGTGGTGGAGATGACAAAATGAATGTACTAATGAAATAAATCATAGACATATTAAAAAAGTCTTCTTCCTGAATCAACCCATCTTCTTTAAACACTCTTATGAAATCAACTTTCAAAACCTTATCAACAACATTTGGAAAGTAACGAGAAAGTAACTTAGATGTACTATTCTGATCATGATCAAAAACCATACACCCATCACACTTAAAACCAGTAATTACCAAAAATTCTCTAAGCCCAAAATGCATTTCTTTACCATTTATGTCAAACACAAACATGTCATCCCTATTGTTACCTAAATGATGAACAAGACATCTAATAATCTGAGGTGGACTTTCAATTGGGACAAGCCTAATAGATAACCAAAAGGAGATTCTTTAAACAAATGAACACTACCAATTTTTTCAAGTAGCTTTGTTATATCAACAAAAATGTTTACATTAACATAAGAACACCAACACGATTGTTTCTTCTTGATCTAAAAAAAATATATTAAAAATCAATAAATTATAATAGTCATAAAATGCAAAATTTATAATATAAGCAAAGAAATATTTGCATCAA